CTTTATACACCAGCCACCTACATGGTACTTTCAGTTGTAGTGACTGTATAAAGCATTTTTGGGGCAATATTATTATACCTACTACTATTCGGAGGGATATAACAGAAAATACCATTTTTTTGCTGTTGGTGTTGCTCATTCTCTCACACATAAAAAAAAATATTCGAACATACTTTGTATGGAGGAAAATGCACCGCCAGCAAAAAAACTTAAAAATTATCAAAGCAAATATTTAGCCGCTTAACACTTGAACAATATTAAACTAAAATTAAGTGGGCTATATAACTGCACTTTTTCTAGAAATTCGAATTAAAAAGTTTGAAACTTCGATGACCATTTTGTGATATTTGGCGCACTTTTATAAATAGTGTACAAGGTTCAACTCTGAGTTGCATGGTTTTCTTTGTGGTATAAACAATATATATATAATATATCATTTTGATTGCACTGCTCCAACAGTTGCAATGGCCAAGTGAGCAAAGTACTGGCGCGGCATTCGAGGGGTCCTAGGTTGGAATCCTCGGGCAGCGGATTTTTAATTTTTTGCAAATTATTTTCTTTTTTTAATGCAATTTTAAGTTTTTGTTAATTAATTATTTTTTTCTTTCTTAATTGATTTTTTTCCTTTTTTTAATAATATTATTTTTTTTCTTTTTCTAATTAAGTTTATCTTTCTTTTTGTGTAAATTTTTTTATTCTTTTCATTTAGTTTTTCCGCTCATTTTTAGTTTTTATTACTTTAAAAGAAAAATATTTTCTAATATTTTAAATAAAATAAACTTTAAATAATTTTAATTATGTAAACTTAACTGTTCCACCATGTTTAAAGTTTTTCTTTTATTGCTAAGTTTTGAAAACGTATTGCTAAGAGACAAACAGAATAATGCTAATACCTCCTCGCTAGCAAATCTTTCAATTAATCTTCCGAAAGACAGAAAAGAGCTTTCAAAATTGTTGCTAAGATTGACAATTGTCTTACGAAAGACTGTGGCGAGTGGAAAGACAGTAAGCAGTTTCTTGTGTGTCACAGAAGTGAACACCCCAACAGACCACTGCTGGAGGAGGAGCCTCCGCCCAGGCACGTCAGGGGGCACCTATTCATGTACAAGGACGCAGTCCAGACCTACACAGACCAACCACTGGACCCAATGACGTACAGACGAGCGATTAACGACATTCATAAGGAGTCTGTCTCCACCAACCTCGACTCCCGGCCTAGGAATGTCGTTATCGGAGCCCAATCACCACCTGTGGAAGAGACGGAGCTTCAGTTACCTAGAGAGACCCGCGTTACCCTGGCTCAGTTACGGTCTGGATATTGTAGTCGCCTAAACAGCTACCTGTCCAGACTCGACCCAAACATCCCAAATGAGTGCCCGGCATGTGGAGACTCCCCCCACGACACCAACCACCGCTTCACATGCCAGCTCAATCCGACTCAACTAACACCCCTCTCCCTTTGGTCCGACCCCATCGAAACAGCTCGTTTCCTGGGCCTACCGTTAGTTGAGCTTGACGATAATGATTAAAAGTTGACCCGAAACAGGCGGGTCTTAGTAGTGCCGCTACAACAACAACAAGTGGAAAGACAGTGGCGAGAATTTTCCTGTTAATAGTTACCCAAAAAAGTCACTCCAGTAACGATTGCCACTGTTGGTTGTTTCCAACCAAACTTGGTTGTTTTTCTTTTATTTATTCTAATTTGGTTGTTTAGTTTTTTCTCTGGTTTGGTTGTTTTTTTAATGAGAAGTTAGAAAATTTTTTCTTTACAAAAAGTAAAATTGCATACGGAATGCCAAAAATTAAGAAATGAATTTTTCAAAATACTATTTTTAATTTAACGTGTTTTATATGCACATATAAAAAGTAAATATGTGATAGAACGCACAAGTATCTCAATAATTTTGGTTTTCCGAAATAGCAGCTATAACTTCTGCCAAAATGTAAATTAATGTTGTTTTTCTACAAAATTTTCATAAACAAAAAACGCCCTCAAGCTAAATAAGTAAGATGAAGTTTTTTTTTTTTTTTTTTTGTAATAAGTTTTGCTTTTTGTAATAGATAAGTGGATAAGTAAAACCATGGTTCCGACACCATAGACCTTCTAGGTATTTCCAGGCGAAATACTGTCCAAAGAGATCGTGGTGAATTTAAAGTACTTTAAAGCTTTGCACCATTTTGAGATCCATGCAGAGACTGAAATGATAGTTGGCTAGGCAATAAACGGACTATACGGACGACGCAAAGCATCAGTAAATTGTTCCCGAATCAATAAAGATATGTGTGGTTTAGCCATATCGTAATGGAGGAAAAAGCCATTTTGTTGATTAATTTGGGCCCTTTGTATTGAATCGCTTGCTTTGATCGAATTTTTCTCTTGTCAATAGACAGTACAACCAATGCGGGTTTGGCCGCTGTTAATGAAACTTTTAGGGTTTCGGCTAAGATCTTTTTGCCCATTATTTACGTACGATATTAACTCTCATCAATAGCTTTGAGAAATGCTTCCGCTAAATCGGCTGTTTTATAAGAGATTGCGTTTTCCGATTGAAGTTAAACGGTCACAAATGGGTAAAATCTGGCAACGCCATTATCAATTGTGCTCAATTCAGTTTGCCATTTCTGCCTCTAAATTATTTTCTCACATGTTACATGAAACCTTGGAGGCCTTGACAACATTGTGCGAAGCGTTGCCGAGATGGGGACCGTATCTTTCATTGAAAAAGTCGTCGAAAATTTGACTTTCAAAATGTGCCACATCTGAACTAGCTACGGTGCTCACATCATCGAAATTATATTCAAACACTAATGGCATAAGACTATATTCTATATATTTTGTTTTGACGGCGTCAATTCAAATACATTCATCAAAAAGCAAAGTAGAGCAAGAAATTATGTACATAATTGCAATAGGAAGTACTACGCTGCGATTTTTCACTTACGCGTAATCGATTGGTAAATTCAATGCTTTTTTTATGATGCATGTATGGACAGGAAATAAAGTTACCTACACGTACGCTGACCGTCCGCACCGATTTTGGCGGGACAGTACCAATTTTGAGAAAATTGTCCCGATTTTTTACGTTTGTACCGATTAAATCCCGATTTTCAGTGTTTTTTTTTTATTAACCCTTTGAGGGCCGATGCTGCGCATAGGCAACATTGACATTTCGATTTATAAATCTTGTTGTTTGGATTAATATTTTAAAGGCTTGTTTTAGTTGATACTTTAGAATGTTGTGAAGGCAAAAAGATGAACCCGGAATGCCACGTATACATATTTGGTTTTCAAAGGAAAAAGTAACTATTCAGGTGAAGCGAGAAATCTTAAAAAATACCTTACAATCAAAAATGGGGAAAAATATCCAAAAACTTTTAATTTTTTGGATCTGAAATTTACGAATGGAACTTTTACATATATACATGACTAGGAAACACCTCCGAAGGAAGCTTTTAATCACGTACCTATGCACCTCGCTATTTTCGGTTCTTATTCAATTTTGTATTACAAATTGCCTGTCGAGAATAGCAAGGTTTGAAATCGGTACCCGATAGACTTTTCGCCATTGAATCGGAATCAGGAACCACAATTTAAAAGTTGTCACTTCCAACCTCAAATTTTTGTATGAATGTAGGTTTTTTAAGGTTAGAAAAATAAAGACAAATAATAGAAGAATAATTGACTAATGGCGAAAAAACAGATTTTAGAGGTTTGGTCGGTTTTCTGTCAAAGTTCAAACAATTATTTAACTGAGCTCTCTATTTGTTCTTTCCAGCCAAATTTTTTCGACTATGATGCAATTTTAAATAATTTGCAAATCAACTTACATTCTAAATTGAAATATTTTACTTTGAAATGAATGGCATTTATGTACGTGTGCATTTTATGTAGATGGCATCCCTTTTTTAAAACTTTCATGAGCCAATGGGCCGTATGATTAAAAACAAATGGTTGTTTCGTTTCTACCAAAAAATGTCGCCTTTTGATTGCCCCTTTCTCTTTTCGTTTCTTAAAATGTCACACTCTTGTAAGGCAAAAAAGGCACATTCTCTGCCCTTTGTAAGAGGAGATGGTTGCCCTGAAAATGGTTGTTTAAAACGAAAATATTAGGAAATGCGCGATCTAGACAAGGGCAAGGAGGCAAAGACATGCCTTTTTAAATGGTTGCGTGTAACATAAAACATATTTTACACCGGGGAAGGGCAACATTTTTCGGAAGAAACGAAATCACCATAAGCAATTGCTCTTACTTGAATATATTTCAATAAATTGAGTAAAAGGTCAGAAATTTAAAAAAAAAGCAATTGCTTGGTTTTTATTCATAAGGCTTCGCATGCAAATGCCACAAAAAAAAATCATATACCAATAACTTTGCATGCAAATACCACCAAAAAAAACTTTCATGTACCAATAGCTTTGCATGCAAATGCCAACAAAAAAGTACTGCATAAAATGCTTACAAATTTCGCTGAATGAGAAAAAACCATTTCGACGAAGCCAATGATTGTCTGCGCTATAACATGTTAATTTTGGTTTTACATATATGTAAATCAGTAAGTATAAAACATGAAAAACGCAAACTTTTAGTACGCATAAAAATATAAACTTAACCGAAAAATTAGTAACTCACTTCAGTGAGTGTTTCAAAATGCAACGAAGGATGAGGTTACAAACCAAAATATGTTGTGTTATGCAAAAACCATAATGGAATGGTTTTAACGGTGCGGTGACTGATTGATGGATCAAAACAAATTCGAAAGCAATAGAAATATACATATATGCAGTATATTATAGGATAAATGAACACAACAATGAGCTGCAGTGACAAGAGAGAATGTTTGGGGTGATGTAACTGCTGATTTGTACAAATAAATGCAATTGATTATTGGTGATTGTTGTGGTGTACGTGTGTGTGTGTGGCTGGTTAGGAATGATATATTTGTTTTTGTATTCTTGCTTTTTTTTTATTTAGTAATGGCATTTTGTAATGAATTCTAACCCGCTTCTTGCTGCCACCGAGTTGCTTCAACTCGCCATTCGGCTGTCCACCGACGACGCCACCGCCTACAACAGTCACTACGCCGCCGCTGCCAAAGCTGCCGTTTGAGTTTAAGTTGAGACTATTCAAACTAGTTATACTATTACTGGTGCCTGTAATGATTCCATGCTTATTGTTGTTGTTGTGCAACATAACGACAGCCGCAGCGGATGCTGAATGCACCATTGCTGTTGATCTATCAACACTACCTGATTTTGTGAGTTGTTGTTTTCCACGTTTGCCATGTATCGGTGTGCCACCATGACCACTATCGACGGTCGCAATATCATCATCATCATCATCTTCAATGTCAGCGTCAATGCCATTAATAGCATTATCGTCGTTGCCGCTATCATTTTGGGAATTAAAATTAAGCTTATTTGGACTATTAGTAAATTCATCACAATTCGTTTGTTCGGTTTGATTCGAAAGCACGGACGCCGACAGTGCAGGACTGCTGTGGAAGTTGGATCTTTTCAAGCTATCACCACCAATAATGGCAACATCACCAACACCAACACCAACACCAACACCAACACCACCATTCACACCATTTAGGAAGATATCGTTTTCATGGCAACTGCTATTGTCCGAATCAGCGCCGTCCTTGTTAACATCACAGCCATTTTTATTATTAGTATTTTTTAAATGATTATTATTATTGTGTTTGCGTTGTCGATGCGACATTTCGGGATTTGTGTTTTGTGTGACGACAGCGATGGTGGTAGCGGTGGTGGGGGTGCAGCCGCTGCTGATGGTGGTGGTGACGCCAGCGCCACGCTCTAGACCCTCATCTTCTTTGTCTGAGTTGCTGTTTTTGCGCTTGGCATCGGCATCATCGTATTTGCCGTGCTTCTTACGCATCAACTGTGTGGTGCAGGCGTAGCATAAACGAACATTGCAATGTTGCGTGCGTGGTTAACGGTTTTTTTTTTGTTGTTGTTTAAATTTCAATATTTATGCATAATTAAATTATTATTATGATATCGTAATTTTTTATTATTCATTTTCATTAAAGAATTCGTGCAACAAAATGCATCCGTATCGAAAAAAGAGAGAAAAATATCAAAGAAAAATACATATTAAAACAATCCGTAACATTTCTGATTTCTGCTTATCATTAAAATTGTTGTTATAAAGCAGTTTTTGGGCTAATGAATTTCGTTAGTTGGAAAAGAATTTTCGCTTGAATTTTTGATATTTTTTTGTTGCTATTTACTGACGGCTGCAAAATCAAGTTTAAAAATTAAAGAAATATTTAAATTATGGATTAACTGTAAAGGTAAGTACATTGATAAGGCAGATATGTGTGGTACTTTTGCAGAGTGGCGCGCAAATTGAAGCCAAATGAACGTGCGATTAGTCACAAAGTTTGATTAAAATATAGTAGTGTGTACCCAGTGTAACGAATATTGCTCTATGAAACCTGAAATTTTGGATTTATTTATGTTTTAATATTACTAATTGGCAGCTTATAGCAAGTGAATGTGTAACATAAAACCCGATGAGAAGGCGACTGAATCCCTTGAAGACCTCAAATTGACGGGTGCTGTAACACTTTTCAGTTGTAACCTAGGAACTTTTAATTGAATGGGTTTGCACCGCGCATGTGCTGCGAAACTTCACACTGCAAGAACATACGTTAAGTAATAAAACCATTTACCGCAAAACATCAAGACCCACCCTACAAATTGAAGGAGACTCGGCTAAATGCTTAACAAAAATGTGAGCTTTCAATATTTTATTTTTATTTTTTTTTTTCTTTTGGCTTGCCCACTGCGTCTTCAGCTACAAAACTCGAAAAATACACTCAGAAAATTCGGTGTCCACTTGTGTAAGAGTGGATTGCCTCAGGGGTAACTATGGTTGACTTCGAAATGGTTTGACCTATGTATCTATAATAAACTACATCTTTCACATTGCGCCCGATGCAGATACCTCACTTTGATTGCGATTGACCAAGTCGCTGTATCCAAGATTTTTTGTTTATTTGGTATTCTTGAATTAGATACATTTTTCTAGCAGTATTCACAAGTGATTTTCATTCCCGTCAACGTTGCCTAATTGGTACAAATCCTTGCAATCGATTGGAAAAAAATACTTCCCAGAAGATAATTTGGGTAGGCCTGCCTAAGTGAAGCCATTCTTAGAGGCTTACCCGAGAAGCGCCGAAAAGCGGCTTCCCTGCAAGTCTTCTACAATTTGGGCGAATGTATAAGTTTATATTATTAAGCATTTAAAATGAATTTCAAAAGGCATTTTATGTTGCAATAAAACATATTTCATATCAACCTCAAAAAAAATACGTAAAGGAAGTATGATTTTTATAAATTAAAGTAGCAGCTTTAGAAGAACTCGTCCCTCCAAATGGTTTTCTAAAGTACATCCTACAAAATCCCTTCGGAAGCCCTTCTGTGGGCAGCGAAAGCAGAAGCCCTTCTATTTGTACCACTCAATACGAAACAGAAAGGAGAAAGGAATGCAGTGAAAAGCTTGTTCACAGGAACAAAGCAAGTAATATACTACGTTTTGAAGCTATGTAACGCTACTTTAAAACGCATTTGCAGTAATAATTTTGCCAACAGTTGTAAATGCTTTAAAACTAATAATATAATATCCAATAGTTTATTTCCTTTGAATTTAACTTGTTTAGGGTGCCGGCCCGTGAAATATTTTTTTACGTATTCTAAACATTATTTTGCGTTACTACTGAACACACAAAAACGCGGTGACCGCCGGCGGTTCTTTTCCATAGTCATGTCCCTGTTTAAACCCTTGCTTTACCCGGAGGAGGTTAAACACACAATTCTTTCAAATATGTAAAAAAAATTATGAATCTGAATTTGAATAAAAACTATGCAGCCCCTGGTATGTTAAACAAGAAAATAGTATTGCCTTTTTTAAGAAAAATTAATGGCTTAGTTTTTGAAGGAAGGCTTGAATAAGTAACATAAGTTTTGTTAAGTTGAGATAACTTTTTTTTTTTATTTCGAATGTCATATAAACATTAGGAAGAAATGCATTTATCAGTTCTAAAGGACCAAATCTCTTTACTTTTTACTACGTTTGAACTTATGAACTCAAATGAGAGAATATTGATTTGAAATGACGCCATAATTAAGTGAACAGGGATTCGAAAATTAAGCCTTATTATTTACAGCTTTTTTTGTTGATGAAATAATATAGAATCCATTTTATGACATTTTTCTATCCCAGTGCAAAAGCTAACTAATGTTTTTTGTACAGCGTAAATGATAAAATCTTTTATTAACTCAGCATTGTTGTTGCCCATCGATAAGAGTGCAAATACATACAAGTGTATGTATGTATACATCTATATGTACATATATCTGTATTATTTTCTGTGTATACATAAGTTAAATAAATAATATTTGTTAATAATTGTGCGCAATATGCGCTTTTCTACGTCTGCCCAAATGTATATATGTGTCTGTGTATGCGCAATATATTTTTCCATATGTAAAGAGCGTGTCAGACGTGGCAATATTTCTAACTTTTCCACGCAATTCGCTGTCAGATTGAGGAAGAGAAATTTTATTTCGATGTGTGAACAGCCAGAATGACCTTTCTATCACATTTCGGAAATCAATTTCTGAAATAAAAGTTGCAAGATTATACTGCAATTGAGAGAGCGCAAATCGATTTCGGAAATATATTTCAACTTGCTCGTACTGGACTAGCAAATCTGCAATTCGCCTTTCGGAAAAAAAACCTCTTTCGAAAGACGCTTTACATGCAAGGTGTGACTGCCCATGCAACTGCTTTCTGAAATTTCTTAATTTGACAGCCTTTTCGAAAGATATTGCATTGCCACGCTTGACAGGCTCTTAAGGGTTTGTATGGTGTGTGCTTCATGCGCTGAATGATGAAGTGATCGTAGTTTTGTTAACTAATAAAGATAGTTTTTTGCATTTCATTTGGTCTATTTTTTTTTTTTTTAATTTTCAGGCAAAAATAATACTATATATTAAATGAAATTGAATGCAAAGGAAGTTTACAAACAAAAAATAAAAACAAATATGTAAATATGTACATAGTCCAAGGGTAATTAACTAAAAGTAATTCAAAGAAAAATGGGCAAAGCTAAAAGCTAGCTAAAAACAAATTTGAAATGGTGTTTAAATAGTAACTACAGGCACTGCCTTTTGTTTTTACATTTTCATTTCACTTTTTCACTACAACCCCACTCACTTACCTCATCTTCACGTTTACGCAAAGTCGATTGCACCTCCTCAAATTCCTCCTGCGCATCGCTGTCCTTCATGAAATAACCTTCATAGATCATTTTCAAGCCGAATATGGCAAACAACGCCGTTGAAATGTAGTATGTATAAATCTTAGGAATAATGGTAGCTGCCATGCCGAACACCACCGAGAGTACGGTCATCAGCGCCAGCGCTGATATGGCGCCAGCAAAGACGATTAGGCGCGGATGGCGCATCGCCATTATGGCAGCAATGAAGAAAGTCTTATCACCTAATTCAGTAAATAATATTACTGATATCGATGCGGAGAACGCATCGATAAAACCGGAATTAGTTTTAGTTTCCTTGGTGGCATCACTTTCATTCAATTCATTGTCTGCATTTCCATTTACGGCATCTTTCATAAATTGTGTGTCATCGGGGAAGGCCTATAGAAAGAGATGAGCATTGATTATTAGTGGATTTCGTAATTATTTATTGCTGATTTTGTTGCACTTACGCTTGGTACACCTAGTGTTGCAACACTTTCATCTATTTCTCTGCGTGCTACCTCCGCCTGACATATGGTAGAGAATGTCAATACGGCCATTAATGCTATGAGCATTTGCAATCTGGCCGAACGTTTGAGATAAACATTATGTTTGGTGGTTTGCCAAAAGTATGACTGATTTTGTGACATCTTTTGGCGTGTTTGTTGGTATTTTAAATTTCTTTAAGAAGAGGGTGTCGATAATTGTATGTGTGAGAATATTACAATTTCTGCTTTACACGTGTTATTATATCACAGTTCAAAAATAAATTTGCTAATTTATTCCGAAAAAGCGCTGCTTCAAATTGTGAGTCCAATTGCGACAAGCAACTGTAATGAAATGAAAAACAGTTAAGTATAATTACTTTCAGTTTTGAGTTATTTGATAAAGAAAATGATACATATTTGGTCTATTTAGACTGACTACTTGACAAAACATGAGATAGGCGTTATCTTTTTTGCTTAAGCGGTGATAGCATCTGCCTGAAGATAACTTCTTTACGCTGATAATTTATGCTTGTGTTATGTGGCATGGAAACAAAATGGTGACAATAGACGATGATAAAACACGCTGTTTTGCGAAGGAGTCAGTCACGTAGTGGCTGGATAAACAATGAGATTTTCTTACAATCTCATTAACCGCGAACAAGTTGTTTACTACGTTTTATGAGAATGTATGCAAACATCTGTTTTTTTTTTTATAAGCGCGCAATCTTATCTGACTTCAGGGAGTGTATTTGGCAATTGGAGTGGTTTACATTTGTATGTATAAGTAATATACATTAGACTGACTCTTCTCTATAAATAAAAAACATTGGTTTGTTTCTCCCCTAAACGAAAGCTGCTATTTTAAGAAACCACAACAAACAGGTAGTGCGGGTCATAAGTAAAGTAAACTCTATATTATTCTTGTCGCAACAGCAGGATATTCCGTCAGTTGTTATCATCTTCACTATGCCTACTCGGGAGAGCCTGGGATCTGCCGCATTCTAGGCTTGTATGTGCTGAGACTGGCTTGCACTATGTCGCGGTGTAAGTGTGTATGTACATAGTACATATGTATGCATATTAGACTGCATTACCAAAAAAAGTTGCGGTTTTCCGGCGAGATTACAAAATTTAATATATTCTAAGGCTTCTACTAAAATATTTCGGAAAAATATCAAGATTTACGTGAGCTGGACCGGTTTGAAAATACCTTTAAAAATGGAGTTTTCGTATCTTAAGGGATTTTTTGAAAAAAATCCCATCAGTTGACAAAACAATTTAAGCCTAAAAAATCTACATAAAGATATTAAAAAATTGTATCAACGGAATAATAATAATGGGACTTTCGATGCTGTTTTTTTTAACTTTTTTCAAAGATTTATGTAAGAAAAACTTGAATACCTGCTCCAAAACTTTACCGGTATAGACTTATTAAGTATCAGTGGAAATGTATTTTCACACCAGTTTTATTTCTTTGCAAACAGACTCATTCACGTCCAAATTTTTTCTTTACCAACTACCATCACCTCTTAATCCAACGTGGAATGACACTCGTTTATCTTACCTTCCTCTTTCATACTTTGAATGAGCTTATTCGCAAAGAAACTAAAAGGGTGAGAAGATACCTTACCAGTCTTTAAAAAAAGATCAAAAACAGCATCAAAAATCTCATTGATTCCATAGACAATTTTTTTTTTAATATTTTTATGAAAATTTTTTAAGCTTAAACTGTTAAGTCATCTGAGGTAATTTTTTTCAAAAAATATTAAAAAAAAAACTTTTTTAAATAAAAAAAAAATGAATTTTTAGAAGTATTTTTAAATTGGTCCAGCTAAGTAAATCTGCATTTATTGGCCAGATCTTTGGTGTACTGTTTCTTTGAGAACGGTAATATGGCTAAGACATCCTAATGCAAACTAGTGATCAATGACACACGTTGTTGCTGTTAGCGATATTCGAAATTTCAGCATACTCCGTTTGTGTTGGGTAGCATTGCAGTCGATTCTAGTGTCGTAAGTATTCTACGTGGGTACACTCATTCACCATAATTGTAACATTGCTCCAAATGATTGGCTAACTTTCCCTTATCGGTGAAACGACTTAAATCAACTAAAAGTATCGCGAACGTAATTGCACGCAATTACACGATTCAAGTCAAGGACATTGGCTTAGCAACCGCAAATACATATGTATGTACATATTCATATGTATATTTATGTATGTATAAATAATTGTGTACATACATGCATACATATATGGATATCTAGTGCGATACATTCTGAATTAAAAAAATATATATACAAAATTAGTGACTTATTAGCCTCGCTTGTACTCGTATACAAACAATACAAGTAGAATGTGTTATTAAGCTACAACTGAGTATTAAACAACACATTTTACGCTTATAAAAGTACAATCGTTAAACGATTTTCTTAAATACCTTAGTGCAATACAATTACCACAGCTAGAAAATCTTGTTAGTATTCTAATGCTTATAGTTTTTCTTAAATACATTCGTGAAGGGTACCTACTCTAAACGCCAGTTAACCCCAGCAGAGCTTAGAGATGCCGACTTTTCACTTATGTAGTTTATTTATTTTTTTTGCATTCCAGTTCTGCTTGGTTTGCTATCACGTAATTGTTTTCCCTTCTGTTATACATACTATACATACATACATATATCATGTATGTACCAGAGAACAGCTTTGAGTATGATCGTACCTTTTTGATCACACTCACTAAAAATCAAGCACAAGCGAACGCCACACTCGGCTACTATGTGTTCGATCGAGATGCATACCCGACAGCTGCTTTGGTTACGAACGAGTCTGTTCGATCACCCTCGCTATAAATTGAGCACAAGCGAACACCACACTCGGACACCCGCAGCTAACCCGAAAATTTGTGTAACAATGAAACGGACACCCGAACATTGCGATAAAATGCAGGACAACAAAGAAATTTACGCTGAAGGTAACTGGCGCCAATATGTTCCCACAAAGCATACGAAAATGTTGTTGCTTTGTGCTTGTGCATACGCAATGAAAAAATTAAAAGCGAAGTAGACAAAAATGTTTTTGCATCTATTTCGTATAGTTTCGCGTGGAAAGCTGTGTGTGTATATATTAGAACACAGCCTAAAACTATGTAGGTACATAAGTACTTTTACAAAAAATAAATGTGCACCGAGTGTATAGGGCTTGGGCATTGCCGATCTACACACATTTATACCTAAATGAATGTAGGCGTCGTGATGCCGCATTTTGTATGAGCAAAAATATAAGAAATGGTTAAATGTACACTTATACTAGGTTCACATATAAGTAGATTATCCTCATTTTCGAGCTTAACACCCTAATCTGTAATTATAACAAGAGATTAGCCATATAAAATTCGTCCCTTGTTAATCTGTAATTATAAAATAATCTCAGATTTAACCGATAACTTTTCGGTGTCCATCCTAGTTTTATCGATTGTTTTTGCGAAAGAGAGGAGAAATGCCAAATGTAAAAGTAAACAAAAATGTACGCTAGCAAGTAAAAGAGGTTTGTAAAGGTATTTTTAATAAAATGTTAAGCTAAAATATATTTATATTGCTTATTATAGCAGAAAAACGTGATCACGGTGGCACAGAGAAGAAACATAACTTTTCCTTGAGATGTGAGAATAACAAGCACAACAAATTTGACGGCTGATAATCTGAGATTTGCCTGTGTAAACGGGGTGATTAAAAAACGAGTTTTGATTGATATAATATTGATATGTGAACATAGTTTTAAACAAACTACCGAAAAATTCAACCTTCTCTTTACCCTCTACGCACAAAAACTAAGAACACCGCGATGAGAAGGCAACATTTTTTGTAGAAACAAAAACGTCATAAGCCAATCAAGAAAATTTTGTGCACACTCGGGTTGAAACTCGAACACCCGGGTATATTGAGCTGCAAAGCACCCGAACCCAATCAAGTATGTATGAAAAGCAATCGGGTGTTGTGGCCAACATGTTCGTCTTGAGCTCAGTCGATAACGAACAATACTTCTGCTCGTATACAGAGAACGATGCAAAACGGGTTTTGTTAGATGATCGAGTATACACGAAAATCATGCACCCGCTGCAGATGTCTGGTATGTACATAGAAATGTATATATGTACATATGAACTCATAAACTAAAGCATTCAATGGGGAACGTAATTGTAAAAGGAAAAATATTATTAATATGCAATCGCTAGAATAGCGAGCTTTTATATCTTTTGAACCAAAATATTTTTAGGTGATCCTTCCTGAGTTTCAGTTTCTCTAATTTATTCATGGAGGTTGTAACACTGGCAGAAGAAAATCAACGTCCCAAGATATTTAAATTTTAAGGTAATACCTACATACATATGTACATATAAATAATAAAGAGAGCGGCAATTTTTGGCACTATCTTCCCGATGCCTATTGACTTGGCCAATTCGATTAGGCAGTTACAGCGCCAAAGATCTTAGACCTGCGACAGTAGCATCTATGTTAACAGAACTTAACTTAAATCTCCCCTTGAAAAGCCACTTTCAGATATTTCACTTGAAGATTTAGCTATTTGTAGGACAGGATTAGAAAGAAATATACAAACTAGTTCAATAGTAATTCTGGGAAATGTTCTCAATAGTATGTTAGTTCGAGGCTGTATAAGAAAAGAGGAAAGACTAAGGAATTCAACGACATGATTCTCTTGCTCCTCCTACTCTAGGGCTCTCAGGCGTGCCTCGAACACACAGATCCCTTTCCGGAACCCAACTCATTCATTCAATAACAATGGTACTTCAATAACTTACAGAATATTTCGTAAGTTTTTTACGCGACTGTAAGCAACTAAACCTTTCAAATGGCCCGTAACGCTCGTATTCACTTCAAATGAAATGTGACACAGCCCAAAGTAATTAACAAAATGCGGATACGCGCTAAATTTACAACGCAGATGTACATATAAACGCTTTCATAATTCATTGTGTTTAGTTTGGTTGAAAAAATTGGCAAATGCGCTGTGCTACCCGGTTCACTTTTTGTTTAAAGGAAGCATTAGAGCACGATTGCTCACAAATCTCAGTCGCCCATGTACATTATCGATTAACTTTCCGGATTTTCAGTCTTACTTGATTTATGTGTACATACATACATATGTACATATGTTTCGCACTGCAAGGCTGGTTGTTTATTTTAATTTTTCTTGAGAAAGTTAAAAAAAATATGCCAAATTCAATTTTAAATTGTTTTTGTGGTCCGCTACAAGGCCAATTTTAGTTTTGATTTCTTATTGCCCGTCCGCGTCTGGTTTATTTTTAAACATAAACGAACAACAAAGACACTTAAATATTATATTTATTTAATCAATGTATTTTGCAGTGGCAGAGAAAGCAAAAATTAACAATGTTCTTGATTGGAGGGGTGGCCCGGCGCCAAAAGCTCTGACTTTGCCAGCGTCACTGCTGACGTAAATGGCAAGCGATACACACTTCGAACGTTTGTTAATTACCGCAAATTATATCGCTTTTTCAGTTGAAACAAGATTTTTTTAACTCTTTTAGCACACAGGTGATTAAATTAAATGAAATAGGCTTTTTAATCGATTTTTTTTATGATTTTACACGAAAACCTAAATTAAACGCTCACACTTACTTCGACTTTTTTTCTCCTACTAAAAAAAACGTCAATTTCAGCGTTGCCAACACATGTATTTTAAAGCGCTGACAGATTTGTTTCATTCACCCAAAGAACGTAAATGTATAAGAAGCGACAAAGAACGTAAATTTACGTTCTTTGCACATACGAAAGACAAAAGATCACGCGCAAGGCGAGTTTACACAATGTGGTGTTACTTAGGGTTTACACCGGGCCATGATTCAATAATTTAAATTGAATTTTAATTTTGAGTCCTTTTGCAGTTTTTATACAGCTAAATATAAAATATATATTGTCAAGGCAATCATGTCAAAATGATGTGTTTGTTGTAATTTGGAATTCGTACACTAAATTATGAAAAACCAAAAAAATAGCAAAAAATTTGCATTTTTCGCAATTCACTCGAAATTTTGTACGAGTTAAAAGGACGGTTAAAATCACCCGCAACTTTTTTTTGTTTACCGGTGCCATTATTCCGTGAGTCGCAGGTCCGAAAAATGGCACATTCCGAACGAAAAATGACACTGAAAATTGTACAACGCCGAAACCGGTTTGTCACCAAACCAAGTTTTACAAGGGAAGATGGAAACTCGTCCACATTACCTACCCTGTCGGGAACACCAACTACGAAAATGAGAATAACGGCACATGCAGTAATTAATTGATAGCAAAATATTTTCTAATAAAAAAAATATTATAATTATCAATGGCATTTTCAATCTTGATAATTTATCAAGAAACCAGATTTAAACTTTTGTGCTGGGAGTTCTTGATAAATAATGAAAAATTTGCAAATTATAAAAATATTGAATTTATTAAGTCACAGAAACTGGCTGTAAGTATGTACACTTTTGTTAAGAAATATAGCAGTTTTAAATATTCAGTATATTTTTTCCTCAGCGAAAAAGTGAAGGTTTTGTTAGTGAAAACCAAAGAACGTAAATGTACAAAGAACGTAAATGTATACATTTACATACATTTACGTTCTTTGCTTTTGGTAAAATTTCTTACGAGATTTTGGTAGAAAAACTGTTGGCGAGTGGCAACCATGGTCCAAACAGCTGTTTTGTTCATATTTGACATTTCGCAGCAATGCAAAACGTTAAAAAATTTGTTTTGAATTGCGACTTGGCTGGCAAAATTTTTGCTTTACGCAATTTTTATTAAGAATATTAATAAATAAATAAATGCATTCCATCGCGTTTCATGTAGTCGCAGAGGAGGAGAAAAACCGATTGATTACGGAGGCCGCCGATCGCCGAAAATTGCGTGATGCCATGAATAACAGTGAGACGCCCCAATCTTTGTAAGTCGCTACTTGGTTTCTGCTCGTCCAGTCAAAAACAGCAATTCAATCTTTGTATTACTCCACGGATCTAGCCTCGTTAATTTTTGTAATCATTCTCAACTTTGAGGAGAATTCCTTTTCAGGAGGATAAAGCGAGTATTATTTGAAGTTTCTTTTGCGTCGTTTGTTCTAGAAACGGCAAGAAAACAAATCAATTTGTGGAAAAAAATAAAATGCCTTGATTGCAAAATTTTTTACTGGGCGGCTTAAATAATCATAAATCTATTTTCTCAATTACATATGTTCATTAAATCCATGTTAAGTATTACGGATAACTTTTAATCCTTTAATTTTAGGTCGAAAAAAATAAATAGGCATCAAATCGAAATATTAATAACCCTAATGGAAGCCAGGCCGGACATTGCTCGTGGCTTTCATAAGGGCCACAATGATGAAGTTTCCCGGTTTTGGCGGAACGCAGAGGCGGAACTAAACTCTGCAGGTCCACCACTAAAAAATATTACTCAATGGAAAAAGGTTTGTGAAAGTGACTAAAAGTATAGTTTTCGCTTGAAGTTATCGTCTTCCTCAATTTATGTAGGTGTGGACCGACCAAAAAAAATATGTGCGTCACAAGGCGGCGCAAAGTTTTGAAGCCAGAAAAAGCTCGGGTGGTGGTCCAAACACCCAACAGAAACTTTCTCCCAATGAGGAAGCAATATATAAACTTATTGGAATGAATGAGAACGTTGAACGAATATCTGCGTCTATTTTTGGATTGTCGCCTTCAAGTGTATCTAAGGTCGTGACAGAAGAACCTGAGCGCGACGAGCCTGACAACATAGAGTATTCGGAGAGAACGAAAATAGAGATTTGCGAATCTCAAATTAGTTCACCCGTTACAGTCGACGAGCGTACGCCTTCACCGCCACCAGTATATGTAGCTCCCGAAAAGAAATTAAAGTTTCAGAAAGGGTTGTTAGAAACTGTTACTAAGGCAGTAAACAGTTCAGTAGAGCATCATGAAGAACAGAAACGGCATTTCAGGGAAATGGAGCGGCTTAAAAGAGAAGAAATAGCTGAAATGCGGCGGCACAATAACCTGTTGGAGCAGTTGCTTAAGATGTAAATGTAAAGTATTTTTGTTTATTATATTTGTAACAGTGAAATGTATTCGAATACATATTTTTTTAATAATTTTTATTTCGCAGGTCTTCATATTGTTGTACGCTAAATATATTTGAGTTCTTTTGCCCGTTTGCACCTATCCATTCTTCGCAATGGCTTTCCGCTTTCAACATGCTCTATTAAACTCGTTACTGCCACAGTAACGGTGTTTCTAATAACTTTTGTTGAATGTTGTTGTAGCAGCATACAAATTCCCCAAAGACTTTTTGGGGAGTGTTGCTGTAGTGACAGTCCTTGGCCAGATATAAATCTGGGTCGTTCCGGTTACGTAGACCCGACTGTCGTGGGAACGAACTCTTGTTGAATCTTAAGTTCAGATGTTTTCGCCGATGGTTTCTTTCCAGTACGTCGCAGGTGGCCTAATTTGAGATTTGTGAATATCTACTTCTGCTAACTCCAAATACTCCATGCAGTCAGGCCCGTAACGTTCAGGTTCTTCTGTCACCATCTTATTTTGTCGGCAGAGCCTTTGCTAGAGGAATAGCTATGCCAAAAAATACATACATAGTAACAAAGATTTTTTCTTTTTTTCTAAGTATTTTGTTTCGTATGTATTTTACAGCACAGATGCACTGGAAGTTGGAAATCCTAAAGCTCATACAACTAAGCCTTGCGCACTTTCCTCCATTCCAATGAACTTTAAATCGCTTCCCTATTGGGAGAAAGTTTCTGTCATGGTATAATTCCACCATGGTTTCTGTCAGGTTTTTTGGGCCCGTGCTTCTGATGGCTTTTGAATTTGGTGCCGCATTTCGAAGTGTATATTCCGCGTACAATAATTAAAAGATTGAATAAGTTTAGATATGGATTTAAATGATTTTTTTTTTAGGTTTGATTTAGTGTAGATACTTATGTAAATTTTTATTATTTTTTATGAAATGCAAGAATGGTATTTCGTTTTTTCTAATATTTAAATAAAGACTGAAATATGTGTATGAATGTACATTTTCTGCTGTATGTATACTTTATGTTATATTCTCGTGCCGACCTGTCGAGTAAAGCAAAAATGAAATTAAAACGCACATAATAAATGAAGTCGTTTTATTGGGTGCGTTTAGAAATGCACTGAGCCAAAGAATCAGTCTCTTTTATATCTATACTTATAATTCATGGAAAAGTCCAATATGCGCAACGGCAGTTAAATGCCGAATTGGAACTTAGTTGCGTAAATAATTAATTTCCATTAATTATAGTTTAGAAATAAAAGAGACTGGAAGCTCAATCAGGCTATAACAAGAATTAAAACATGGATGGAGGACCACAGCCTCGTTCCAATATTCATCGAAAAAGAAGAAATCTCAACTTAACGATGCGTCAAATACCTCGGGTTTATACTGGATAGTAAGCTCACATTATGGGACCACATTCAGAGTGTGTCGAAAAGAGCGTCGAATAAGTCAGCAATGCTAATGGCAAAGTTATATGGACTCAAACCATGTATACGGCGCCTCTTGATGAAGACAACGGAGTCAATTTTGTTTTACGGAGCAGAAATCTGGGCTGCAGCTTAAACGATAGACAAATACCGCAAACGTCTCGCCAACATTCAACGACAAGGAGCACTGAAAGTGGCGTGCGCATATCGCACCGGTATCGGAGGAAGCCGTACTCGTACTCGCGTAAAAAAAAAAACGGACTAGGAAAACGCAGGCAGCAAAGGAAGCCAAAAGCAGATTACTGAGCAGAAGGCAACAAAAATGGCAGAGTGATCAAATGGGGAGGTGGACTGCGAAACTGATTCCGCACCTGGACCGCTGGCTAGACCGCTCACGCGGAGAGGTGGGTTATTTCCTCACTCAGTTAGGGCCTGTTCGAGGCACGTAATCAAAGCGGAAATACTGCAGCACTGATGCAAATTTGCAAAACTGTTGCAATTTCCAACTGATAAAACGTTGCTAGTAGTTCATTCCGAACGTGATACTTTAATAATGCGCGCAACACTGCGGTTGTGATTGCATCTCGAACAAGCCCTTTATTGACCGAGCACGGATACTTTTAGAGCGTACCGGCACAAAATGGGGAAGGTGGCGAGCCCACACTGCGGTTACTGCTTACATGTAGACAATGCAGAACATACATTATTTTTCTGCGCGCGCTGGGATGCCAACAAGCGGCGATTGGAGCGAAAACTCGGCCCCGTAGCACCCAAAAATCTCGTTTCTTAAATGAAAAATCATGAGACACGGTCGCGACTTTCGCCGAGATCATACTGCGGCGCAAGAGCCAAGAGGCCTTCCACTCTACATTCCATTCTCCTTTCTATTTTGTATGGAGTGTCACAAATTGAAGGGCTTCTTCTTTCGCTACCCATGGAATGCCTTCCAAAAGGGCTTTTATAGCAAGGCATTTCGAGGAGTTCTTTTAAAGTTGCTCCTTTAATTTATAAAAATCATACATCTTTGAAGTATTTGCTTAAGGTTTATGCATGATACAATAATTTTTAGAAGGTAGTTTCACTTCTTCTTCTTATCCGCCATGTTAGCTATCTGACAGAAAACGTGTTTCGTATTTTTTGTTGTACCAACTTTTTCAAAAAAAAATCCAGCTTTTGACGTTGGAAAAATAAAACAAAGAAAAGCCAAACATATAAGTAGAGAAATTTTCGAATGTTTTGTAATAATTTTCTTAATAAAAAATTAACTGCTGCTTTCGTGGATATTGCAACACACGGAATAGATGTAAGGACACAGCTATAAGAGCCACCGCACACCACAGACTTTATCGGCCGCCTATTTAAATGACAGGGCTCGCTTGAAATATGTACATGAAGATTTATGGAGGTGCGCACATTACACCAGCTTAATCGCTCTGACCAATAAGTTGTGGTGCAATGGAAAGACTAGCGAGCACATCTAAATTGGCGGCCGATAAAGTCCGTGGTGTGCAATGGATCTAATCCATTATAAACAAGAAATATTGCTGTTATATTTTCATTTTTATGATTTTTATTCATGTGATTAGCAGTGGAAAAAATGTATGTATAAAATACGTATATTTATATTAAAAATTAAGTGATCAGTTATGAAACATATAAATCTTTACATGTTCTGTTAAAAAATATCTAAAATAACAAGCGATAATCCCCAAGTTCTATATCGTAGCAGTGGCCACATTGCGTGTTTGTCACAGACACGGTTTATGTCAAAAATTTTGAAGTGAAACTACCTTCTAAAAATTATTGTATCATGGGTTTATGTATATCAAATATGTGTGATTGCAACATACAAGATTTATTGAAATTGATTTGTAATGCTCTATAATATAAATTTATGCATTCGCGTTAATTGTAAATGGATAAGCCCTTCTAAAAGGCAAGCAAGGAAGCACTTTTTAAGTTCTTCTTGGGTAAGCCTCTTAGAATGGCTTTACAAATAATTGCACGAGACATATAAATGCTAGGTAAACTGATTTTGCGGGTGGATACATTTCGAGTTTTCAATAACAAAAAAATAATTATTATTTAAAGATTTTTCTGATTCGTGTAGTACATTCTTTTAGCTATTAGATAAACATAAACCGAATCAGGTATGCTACTAGCCTATTTTTGAATGACTTCGCGTCGGATCTTCGTTCCAGATCACAGTGCCAACGGCTCGTAAGCTTGTAGTGCAGTTATAACTTTAGTTTTTGTAATTGTAAATTGAATGTTATGCCATCTCGTTCCCACTTGTGCTGCATTATCGACATGCCGTCGGAAATTGCATTTGACATAAATTAAAGGAAACCAATGCACGCATTTCCATAAATGACTTCCAAATGTCGTTTAATTAAAAAATATATTTGGAATTGCAATAAAAACAAAGTGTGATTAATACAATTTTAAAACTAACAGTGCATGTGTTTAATGCACTCAGTTCACTTAGATCACTCCAACGCTTTCAAATCTTCTATGAATTCCTCCATACTCTTGCTGACCGTTTCCGCAAAAATACTTGTCTCAACGCCGCAGCCATTTTTCAAATTCGCTACACATGCACGAACGGTAATGCGATAGGTTTGATCTGGTTCCAGTCCTTCTAGCTTGTAGGAGTGTACATGACCTGGCGCCGCTATGCCATCGAAAATTTCCTGCGCTCGACAATCGTTTTGCAGCTGATATTCCGCAGCGGCGCCGACTAGTTGGCATACAGGTCGCTGTTTTACTATAGGGAAATCATCAGGTCCAGTATCCTGCATGTTGAGCGCAATTTCTTCCTGTTGTTCACGGAATTTATTGAAATTGCGTATTGCTTCCATGAAATTTGGATCGCCTTCCAAATCGTGGTCATCTTTGTTGGTTTTATCTTCAAGGTTATTGTTGTTCTTTTTTTCAGCTAATTTGTGTGTATTATCTGGTACTTTGCGTTTGGGCCGTATAAGTTTAGATGTGCTGTCGAGAAAGGCGCTGATGGTATTGGGGGTAGTGGAAAGTTTGCCGTCAACAAAATTGGTACCATTGTTGCAAGCAATTGCTTTGGCTTCGCGGCGCACATGCCTGTTATCCACCTTGCGCCTGAAATAGGAAAAGAGTTACGGTCGTCTGATGAATATTAAAAATATGTAATAACAAGTAATTTTTGAGCAAAAAACCGACTTAAATTCTGATATAAAAATTTAAGAGTACCGTTAATTTCTTTATGATCCAGTGATCAGATCTAAACCGAATTAGTATGGGACCACCTGTGGGCTAAGACCCCTTTCCTTTAAAAGAAGAATTATAGAGATCGATTACGTGGACCAAATTTATTCGGTAACATCTGTACATACAATAAGAAAAAAAAATATTCCGATGAATTGATAACCTCCTCCGTTTTCGTTTAAGTCGGTTAAACAGTAAGTATATATTTTATAAAAAAATTAGGAAAGTGTAGTTCGTTGTTCCTTTTAGTCACCATGCGCTTATGCCCTTTTTACTGTAGATTATTCCTACTTTGCCTTCGAATGGGACGTTTCCGGTTAACTTTTTTTCAAAGGTACAACTTTGTACATACATTAAATTTATTAATCAAGTTATTAAGTTCACTTTTTTATTGTCTTCGCCACGGCATTTAGGAATATCTCTTTAAATTGAACGCCGAGGAGAAAAATTCCCTTACAAAATATCTGCCTTACAAAGCGAAAATCCTAGAGAAAAGAATCAACCAAAGATTCTTCCATACTAATTTTAAGGAGCATACCTCTAAAAGGAAGGAGGAGGACCAACACAAGCTTGAAAGAGATATTAGACCTTCTTCTTCGCACATATCTTCCAGGTGGTGACTTAAATCAGTCCTCAGCAGCACCATCCATAAATCTAAATGTATTCGACTCGGAACCCACTTGGCTTCACTTGGAATTCCTAATTGGAATGAGTTGCCACTGAAGAGAAACGGCCAAATTGGCGCTTAGGCGGTTACAGCACCAAATAAGATAAGAAGATTGTATGACTAATCAATAACTTCTTTCCGTATAAGTTCCCGTCCGGAATGTTTCTCGCCATGTTACAGGAAACCCAATTGCTGGAGATTCCATGGCTGGAGAGTATTTTGAAGGCATGTCTAATGTTCAACCATGTTTCAACTACTTGAAAAATGATAAAGTAGCGTTTATCCTAGAGGTAGCCAGGAGAGACACTAGATAAGCAAATCGACACATGATGATAGAGAGAAGCAACGACAACGTCACCGTGGTGAGTTTTCGTTAACACGAGAATCCCATAAGATAGGCCGCCACAGTGCCGCCTAGGTAGACATTTCCCCAAAAAATTAATGATATGCCGCCCGGAAGCCACTAAAGTCGACAAAGTTTTTACTAAAAATTTGAATAAGAGCATAGCCACGCGTAAGCTCTTCACAGAAAAAAATGCCAAAAAATATTCTTTGAAATAAAACGTTGGTTTGACGTTTCTTG